TTTTAGTATTAATCTTTTCTATTTGCTGTTTTTATATGGTTTCTAATTTCCCATTTATTTTGTCTATTTATTTATTTATTTATTCTTCTAGAGTTTTTTCTGTGCTTTCCTTTGCCTGTGGTCTCCTCGAACTTTTTCTCAATGGTACCTAAATATAATTTTTTTGAATTTCTTTATCAGGTAATTCCATAGCATTTCTTCCTCTGGAAGATTTTCTGGGCCTGTAATTTGTCACTTGTTTAAACCATCATGTCCTGGTTTTTTTTTTTTTTTTGAGTGTGTGATTGAAGTTGTCTCTGGTTGCATAGTGCCTAAGGCATTTGACTGCTAACCAGAAGGCTGGTGGTTCAAACCCACAAGCTACTCCTCGGAAGAAAGATGGGACAATCTATTTCCATAGTGATACTGCCTCAGAAACCCATGGAGGGGTCACTATGAGTCGGATCCGACTCAACAGCAGTGAATTTGGTTTTTTTGGTTTGTTGTCTCTGAGACTTTGTAGCGTTATAATATTAATTTGTTGGTTTGCTTCAGTCTGATTTTTTGTTTTGTTCTGTTTTAATATATCCAGGGAACAGGGTGTTGGTTACTCTGGTCTCTAGTTCAGCAGCACTGGGGAACTAACCACCTATCTCTGTGCAGATTTGGTAACAGGTGGGAGTATGGATGTAAGTCTCTGGTCACTGATCATGCAGAGTGGCTGAGGGCAGGCTACATGGGTGTTGGCCACTGTCTGTCATTGATCCAGTAGTGCTGGAGTGGTTAGAGTCATTCACCCAGTGGGTGGGGACAGGTATGCTTGGATAGTTACTGGCTCCCAACTGCTAGGTAACGATACAAAGAAAAAAAAGTAAGGGGATGTAGGAGGGGATATGAAAAGGAAAAGAACAAATACAGGGGGTGAGAAGAGAGACCAAAGAAGAAAGAAAATGAGGAAAAAGGAAAAGAGAAAAGGAAGAAAAACAAACAACAAAAAACAGGAAATGAGCAGCAAATGCTAGCCACCAAATGTGGCTGCAGTGGAAATGTGGTTGTTCCTCTGCAGAAGCACACACCACTGAGTGTGGAGGGTCAGGTTCAGCATTACTGAACGAGGAGGTGGTAGGAGGCAAGGTACTCTATCAGAGGGATCAAAAAATAAGAAACAAAGAAAAGAAAATAAATAATGGTATGAGGTAGTTGGAGAAAAATGAAAAAAGGAAAGTGGGTAGAGGTAAGTAAGGACTGAGAGGAAGAGAAGAAAAAAGAGAAGAGAGAGGAAGGAAAAAAAAAAAACTGGTACAAGTGTTAGTTGCCAAGCACAGCTGCAGCAGAAATGTGGAGCACACTCCTGGAGATCTCACACTGCTATCAATGGAGGGGTGGCAGTAGGTCCTGCTGACCTTAGAGACGGAGGTGGGAACAAAAAGAAAAAAGAAGATGACAAGAAAGAAAAAGGGTGAAGAGGAAGAAACAAAAGAAAAAGAAAACAAGGAGGAGGAGAGGGAGGAATTGTTGTTGTTGTTGTTATATACCGTTGAGTAGGACCCGACTCATAGCAACCCCTCCTTGGGTTTCCAAGGCAGTATCAGTACGGAAGTAGATTGCCCCATCTTCCTTCCGAGGAGTGGCTGGTGGGTTTGAACCACCAGGCTTCTGGTTAGCAGTCAAGTGCCTTAGGCACTATGCTACCAGAGCTCCCAAGGGAGGAATTAAGAAGGAAAATAGAAAAAGGAAGAAAGAACAAAAGCAGCACAGTACTGTTAAAAGTGCCAGCCACAAAACAACTGTGCACCAGAGTGTGCACTTCTGACCAGGGAGCGGCAGGGACAGTGTGGGAGAGCCTCCTACTCTTCAGGGAGGATGGAAGGATAGAAGAACTAAGCAGAAAGATTGTTTTTTTTAATAGGTGGCCAAGCACTGGCAGTGGGGGGAATTTAACCAGCCGCAGAGTGGTTGGTGGTGTGCAGAGCTACACGTTTCTTGTCATGGGACGTTGTACAAGGTAAGTGGGTAGGGCACATCTCTCTGGTCGCCTGATTACTGCTGCAGGTGCCAGTGTAGTCCTGGACAAGTGGAGCCAGTTACCTGGTTTCTGCTCAGATTAAAACACTGTTGTTGTTAGGTGCCACTGAGTCGGCTCTGACTCATAGTGACCATAAGTACAACAGAACAAAACACTGTCCAGTCCTGGGCCAGCCTCATAGTCCTTGCTATAATTCAGCCCATGGCTGCCGCCACTGTGACAATCCATCTTGTGGAGGGCCTTCCCCCAAAGTAGGTGAGATGAAGTCTGGCCATTCTTACTTCCAAGAAGCATTCCGACTGCACTTCTTCCAGGACAGATCTGTTGGTTCTTCTGGCAGTCCATGGTACTTTGAGTATTCTTTGCCAACACCACAACTCAAAAGCATCAACTCTTCTCATTGTCCACCTTTCACATGCATATGAGGCAACTGAAAACACCCTGGCTTGGGTTGTTGTTGTTATGTGCAGTCGAGTCAGACCCAACTCAGAGCAACCCCTCCTTGGGTTCCCGAGGTGGTATCACTACGAAGTAGATTGCTCAACCTTCCCTCTGAGGAGTAGCTGGTGGGTTTGAACCGCCAGTCTTCTGATTAGCAGTCAAGTGCTTTATGGCTTGGGTTAGGCATATCTTAGTCTTCAAAGAGACATCTTTGCTCTTCAGTACTTTAAAGAGGTCTCTTGCAGCAGATTTGCCCACAGCAATACATCATTTGATTTCTTGACTGTTGCTTCTATTAGTGTTTATTGTAGAACCAAGTAATATGAAATCTTTGACAACTTCAATCTTTTCTCCATTTATTGTGACGCTGCTCATTCATTCAGTTGTGAGGATTGTTGTTTTCTTATGTTGAGGTGTAATCCATTATAATTCTCCTTTCCCCCATCCTATTGTTGAGGTGAATCAATTATAGCAAGGACTATGAGGCTGGCCCAGGACTGGACAGTGTTTTGTTCTGTTGTACTTATGGTCACTATGAGTCAGAGCCGACTCAGTGGCACCTAACAACAACAGTGTTTTAATCTGAGCAGAAACCAGGTAACTGGCTCCACTTGTCCAGGACTACACTGGCACCTGCAGCAGTAATCAGACTGTAATCTTTAATCTTCATCAGCAAGTGCTTCAAGTCATTTTCACTTTCAACAAGCAAAGATTTGTCATCTGCATACCAGAGGTTTTTAATGAGTCTCCCTCCAATACTAATGCCACACTTTTCATATAGTCCAGCTTCTTGGATTATTTCCTCAGCACACAGATTGAGTAAGTACGGTGAAAGGACACAACCCTGACACACTCCCTTCCTGATTTTAAATCATGCAGTGGCCCCTTGTTCTGTTCAAACCCATCTCTTGGTCTGCATACAGGTTCCTCATGAGCAGTAAAGTGCTCTGGAATTCCCACACTTCTCAATGTTGTCCATAATTTGTTATGATCAACAGAGTCGAATGCTTTTCCATAGTCAATAAAACACAAGTAAACATCTCTCTGGTATTGTTTGCTTTCAGTAAAGATCCGTCTGACATCAGCAATGACATCCCTTGTTCCACATCCCCTTCTGAACCCAGCTTGCATTTCTGGATGCTCTCTGTCAATATACTGCTCCAACACTACTTGCAATAATTCAAAATGGCCATGCTGTGCCAGTGGCTGTTTTCTGTTTACCTTCAGTCTCTTCCTCACTTTGGTATTTGATCTACTTCTTCATCCTTTCCTTTAAAGCTCTGGATCCAACATTGTCATCTATAACCGTTTCCCTTGTTTTTTCCAGTCTTTGCTATAGAAATGTTGGATAACATGTCTGCCTAATCAGGCCATCTTGGACACAGAACCAGGGTGTCTTCTTAAAAGTCAGCTTCTGATTCAGGAGGTATTGGGTGGGACCTGAGATTCTGCAATTCTAACAAAATGCTGATGAGGTTGATTCACATACCATACACTGAGTACTAAGAACTTGATCACTTTTCTGAGGTATTGATGGAGTGAGTGCCGATTTAATCTGACAGTTCTCAAGATCTACGTAATTCATACCTACCAAAAGTTTTGAATACTTGCATGTACACTAGCAAGCCAATCTCCTTTTAATTTGTAAGTTGACCACAAAAGATGCTAATGACGCTATGGAAAATACAGTAACATTACATCAGCAACAGATTCAAGTCTCTGTTCTGCTTTATAACCTAGGTATTTCACTCCTAGACTGCAAGAGGACAGCTCTCATTTCCTCTTCCCTAGGCTGTTGGAAGAATTAACAATAGAAAATGGAAGTGAAAGTATTGCTTCAACTGTAGACTTTAAAAAAAAAAAAAAAAAGGTTTAAAATGGCCAAAGGAAAATCTTCACTACTCAGTTTTAAAAGAGGTGGTAGTTAAAGATACGAGGGGGATCTCCAGGTTTATCCTCTTGGGCGTATATGGAATGTACCACGGTTAAAAGGAGTACCCAGTTTTTAAAAGTAATCTGAAAAAAGGGAGTTTCCGTTTTTAAAATTATCCTTAAATCATGATACCTGAAATATGAACTTTTCCCTCATTGAATAACTCAGCTGGAACCTAATCTACGTTACTGATCCTATTTTATGTCAGTTTCCCGTTTTAAAAGAAAATTCGACCCACGCATCTCTCCTTTCCCCCCATCCTCCAGTTTCTTTCCTGCCCCCGCCCTCTTCAGTCCCCGCCCCAAGGCAGTAATTTTCACTACGCTGAAACGGGAGGCGGTAACGGACCGGACTATCTACTCGCCCCGAGGGGGGTATAAGGAGCCACATTCCAGGCAACGGTAAGAGACCTGGACCAGACTTGAGCAATATTAAGGAAACCTGAATCTGAGAAGCAGTGTCGGTGCAAGACGAGCGAGTCAGGCCTGTAGTCGGTGTGCGAGTGCACAGCTTCGTCCTCAGGAGCGCCATCCTCCCCAGCCACTACGCCGGATGGCGCGGGCGGAAGGGGGCGGAGCTATGCTCAAGGCGTCCGCCTCCGCAGCGGCCGGAAACAATAGTGGATGATCCGGAGCCGCGCGGAACGGGTGCTGCGGCGAGCGCAGCCGGACGGTAAAAACCTTGGTCTTCTGCCCCGGCCTTTGTTACCCTTGCTTCCCCGCCATCAGTCTCGCGACTGTCCCGCTCCGAGACCTGCAGTTTCTTGCGCTGCTGCGCGCAGGGCACCCCGACGGACGGACGGAGAGACTGACGCTGGTCTGGGGCGCCCTGGGAGATGGGCGCGTGCCCCCAGCACCAGAGGACGGGCGGGTACCTGGCTTCCTAAAGCGCTGAGGCGAGGTGCACCGGCTACCGTGGTCTCGGATTTTTTCTGTAGAAGGAAGCCCGGGACAAGGGGATGCGGCGCTCCCGCCGGCCAGGCTCGGCGCCCCGTGGCTTACTCCGGCCCGGCGTGGCCATCCCGCCTCCGACATTACCCAACCTGGGCCGCAGAGCCGCTACTCCGGGGGTACCTTGGAAGCGGTCTGGTTGCTCTTCCTGGGTGTTAGTGTTTCCACGTGCGTTTTTCTGCCGCCGACCTCCGATAGGAAGCTTGGCACAGCCAAAGTTGGCGTAACGCTTCTTAGGGTCACACAGTGAAGTTAGCCAAACAGAGTCTCAAGCGGGTCATTTTTACTGCATTAACAGCATCAAGTTGGTTCACAGAAGGCGGCAGAAGACGACTTCGCTGCTGAGGTCTTTTTATGCTTGATTATTCGAGGTCGGGAGTGGGAGGGCAGAATACCTGCAAACTGTTTTCCTTCCGATTTCCGTAACTAAATAAATCATAGGTCAAAAAGCACTTAGGCATAATGTTACATGTGACCACGCTCTAAGTTTTACTGGCTTTTTGCCTTTTCAAAATGCAAGTGTGATCGAAATACGGCAGTGTTTATTTGATGGGGCTCTTGCCTCATTTAACATCCTCCTGGTTTCCTAGAAGTTCCTAAATAGTGCGGTAATAACAAGTTCTTGAAATTGCGTAACTTCTTTGTCTGTTTTTAGGGGCATTATGAACGAAGAGGAGCAGTTTGTAAACATTGACTTGAATGATGACAACATTTGCAGTGTTTGTAAACTGGGAACAGACAAAGAAACACTCTCCTTTTGCCATATATGTTTTGAACTAAATATTGAAGGTAAGAACACATAATGTAATGTCATGACCTTTTCACAGCCCCTTTATGCTGAACTACTTATAAGGTAACACTAAAACTCCTTGAATAGTGGGAATTTGTTCTAAGTATGAAGTGTAGAGGTCTGTTGACAAGGGTTTCTGGAAATGATCCTTTATCACGATTATTAGGTATTTAAGAGAATCTTTTTTTAACACCTACTATACTAACCTTTTTATAATATAAAACTAAGGCATGAGTATTGACTTAAAACGTGTTTTCTGGTTTGAGAGCTTATTAGGTTGTTAGATTTTAAGATGTTTTAAGGTTAGGCACAACATAACTAAACATTTATGTTAGTGTGCAGATGTACTTTTATTCCTGTGGGCTCACTATGCTAGTATATTTTATTTATTTAATAAGCCAGCTAAGTATGCATCTCGCATTTCTAATTTGAAAACTGTGGGATGCACCTTAATTGAACATGAACGTCTCCCATCCCCCAGTCTTACCTGGAAAAACGTTTTTAAAATTTTATATTATCTCTTTTAAGTGATCACATGGGTTTTTAATATATTTTTAAAACTGAATAGCTTTTTAATTTCTTAATGATATCTCTGAAAGTATATGAAAAAACATGCTTCAAATATTAGGAAAAGATCTCTGCTGTTCGAAGTATTTGTTTGATGTGTAGTTAATGTGTCTTTAGTTTGCTTCTCATAAACAGGATGTGTTCTTTTAATCTTGATGTTGTCATGTTAAAATTCTGGTTCAAGTGTTTATAAGTTACCCCCTCAAAAAATAAATACTTAATATTTCCCCAATAAAAAGATTTGCTTATCATGGGCATTTTTAAATTGTAACATTATCAGTAGAGAGACTAACAAAGGTTTAGATTTTGGGCAGTTTTAAAACAGCATTTCATTCTTTTTCCTGAATTACATATTAGATTTTTTAAAATTATTTCTCACTTTTTTCTATTTAATAAGTAAAAGATAGGAAGTGTTTGTATTTTAAAAAAAAAAAAATCAGTAGGATTAGCTACCTTACATTCCTGCTAGGACTTGTTATTCAGAAATTGTTGAGGTCACCAAATTAATGTTTAGATATTCTATAGGAAAAGTCAAAATTACAACTATAAGTAGACTACTAAAATACATAGTGACATTTGTGTAATCAAATTATGTGACATTCATCTTCTATTTAAAATCTTACTGACTGTGACAGTTTCACTACTATAGAATATTTGTAGTTGCTGAACAGGATATGATAATTAACAGAAACTTGTGGATTTCCTGTGCATTACATAAATACATCTAACTTTAGCTTTAATGAAGATAGTAATCATAACTAGTTTCAAAGAGATGGCTGAAAAATATGTTTCTTTTGTATTCTTTATATTACCAGATCCTTAATCATCCTGGAGTGAAAGATTTAAATTTGTTTTTTTGGAAATAAAGTTGGCCATATACATTTTGATAAGTTGTAGAGTTTTCATTTTAGATGAGCAAAGGAATTAGAAATTATCCAGCCCAACCTCTGTATATTTACTATATTTAAGGAAACTGGGTGGGATAGTTGGACTGCAAAAAGCTGCTATAGTGGTGACAGCAGGCTGTTCTTAGGTGCCTGGTATAGGCATTTACTGTCAGAGTTCTTGTGTCAGGCACTGTACTAAGCACTATATATGGATTATCTTATTTAATTCAAAATAGTTTTAATATAGCTGTTGTTATCCCCATTTTGAAAGTGAAGGAACTGAAACTTAGCGACCTAAAAAATGCTCTTTGAGGTCCCATGCCTAATAATTGGACAGCACTGGGCTTGGCCACCTGCCAGTGTGATTATAGTATATGTGATCTTAATTCCATTGATCTGTTCATAGTTATTTTAATTGATAAGACATATTAAAAACGTCTCCTCGTGAATCCTAATTGCCTATTTTAGCTATTCTGTCAGCCAACTTTTCTTTAACTAGTGCTTTCTGCTAAATCATTAATGGGGTTCATACTGTAATAGAATTTTTCCACCAAATCTAAAGTTTTGTGAGTACTTTTCTAGCCTTTTAAGTGTTTTTTAATCATTATGTGGAAAATACATATTCTTTGGTGTTATCTTTATAAGTATTTCAGCGTTGCTAACACCTATCTCAATATAGATGCATGACACCATTCTTGCGTTGTTGAAATAATAGCTGTCTTCCATTTAAAAGACAAAAACAATTTTCAGTTTGAATTAGAACTATTTCTTTTAGTACTGCATATAAATTCATAAGGGAGCTCTGGTAGCATAGTGCCTAAGGCACTTGACTGCTAACCAGAAGGCTGGCAGTTCAAACCCACCAGCCACTCCTCGGAAGGAAGATGGGGCAATCTACTTCCGTAGTGATACTGCCTCGGAAACCCAAGGAGGGGTCGCTATGAGTCGGGTCTGACTCAATGGCACATAACAACAACATAAATTCATAATGCCAGTTTAATCTTAGTGAATATAAGTATTTTGAAGTAAAATTTTCTTCTTACTTTATCAAGTGTCAGCCAGATACTCTGCCATGTATGATAGTTTTTGTATTTACTGCAGTAACAAACTAATGCATTATAACCATTTAATTTAATTTCGTAAGATTATTGTAGAAAATAGATAAGTGAGAACCCTAAATTCCACAAATTTTCAATTGTTATATCATATCAGAATACAGATTGTTTTAAAACCAATGAAAGAAATGAGATAATAATTTTTTTTTTTTAAACCACTGGCATCAAGTCAATTCCAAATCATAGTAACCCTAGGGGACAGAGTAGAGATGTCCCATAGGGTTTCCAAGGCAGTAATCTTCACAGAAGACTATTACCTCTTTGTCCCAAAGAACATTCCTAGTTTTATTTTTTCTTTAAAAAGGCTTAGTAAAACAAAATTTATTATAATTGATAAATAGTAATAATTTGCTAGTTTTGAGTCCACACATTTGTAGTAATTAAAAATAATGTTTTACACTTTTTGAATCGTTGCTTATATCAAACCAAAACTAGTGTAATCAACTAGCCTCTTGTTTAAAAGCTGTGTTCATGCATATATTTGTAAAATGAAGACAAAGGAAAGAAGAATATCAAAAGATAGTCTAATCTTGTTGGAGAGATTCTGGATTCCAGGCATAGCCCTAAATTGTCTTTATTCTGTGACTTAAAGTAATTAAAAGAAAAAGTACCTAAGTTTCATATACTTCCAAGCCATAGGTAATATATTTTAAGGACCTAAATATATTTAAATATATAAAAATATATATATAAATGCAGTTTAAGGTCTCAAATCAAAATGTTTACAAGATTAAATTTTTTTCCTGTATCTTTTTAATTCACTATTACTAGGATAGCATCTCTATTTTTTGAATTAGAAAACAGTGTAAGCTTTTGCCAAAGGGGCAGGAAGGCTGCATCTTCTGACCTCCTCTAACCCCACAAGAGGAAGAGAGAATCACCATCAGTAGCCCAAGACCTAATTCCTGCGAGGCCAGACATGCTGCCTCCCTCCAGGCCTTTCACCATCCCTGACACCAACCATTCCTCCCGTGGCACCCACCACCTCTCTGCTAGGTTCGATAATTCACTGCAGCAGCCACAGATTATGGGGTTTATTAGGAAGTAACAGGCTACAATTCAAGTTCAGAAATACACTCAGTCTCTCACACCCAGCCATCTCACTTAGCAGCCAGCATTCTCTCTCTCAGCCACACATGACTCTCGCATCTCCCTCTCAGGAGCCTGTTTCTCTCAGCAGCAGGTCTTTCTCAGCCAGCAGAGAGACGACTCCTGCCTTTAGGAGGGCTCCTTTTGAAGCTGGCAGGGTGGCCAAACTAACCAATCCCAACATCAGAATTCTATACACCTGAGAGAGAATGAACTTCCCAGAAGATTACTTTGTGCCACTCTCAACAGAAATACCCCAGGTGGATAACTTTAACAAATCAGGAGCTACTCAGTTGTTCATGGCAAATTCCACCACGGAGTTTACAAAGACTTTATGGCTAGAAAAGCCACAGTATGTAATTTATTACACCACAGCATCCTAATACTTAGGACCTGTCCTTAGCCACAAGATAGTGTAAAATTGTTTCATATGAGTCACTGGTCAAATACCCCAATATATATCATGGTCTTTTGTGCTAAAATCTCTGAAGTTCATTTAATGACCAAATTGCAATCATTGTTTAAGTTACTGAGGCTGGAAGATAGCCCATGGTAATCAGGAGCTAGTAAATTACCTGAACTGTAATGTAATAAAGTCAAAGGTGAGTAAAAAAAGAATAAGAAATCTAGGCCTTTGATTCTTGGATGATGCTATTACTTCATACTGTGTGTTTTCATTTTATGGCAAAATACTATGCAAATAACTTTTAGAGCATCTTTACTTTCTAAGTAATTGGAATGCTTTGATAAACTTTTCCTAAAATTAGGCCAATTCTATGCCAAAGTTTTCAGTATAAGGTGACCTAGCTAGTTGATGAGTAAGCATGTATCGAACTCGTATGTTTTCTGTGTGGTCCATCTCAGTCGTCTTTGTCCTAATTTGTTGATCTTCCCGGGAACCTTTCTGTGAACAGATCCAAATGTAGATTGTGAGTAATCTGTCTTTCCAGTGGGGAAAATCTGGAGGTATATTTTCTTGGCGAAGGCACTTATAAACCTAATGCTTACTTTTAATCTCATTCGTCCTTTATTCTGTGTCTTTGATCTTAACAGTGGTCATGATCAGTAGTCAGGGAACAGTTGGAATCTCATTATTAAACTCTTGATTTAATGTAGGAGTCAAAACTGTAAATTTACTACTCAAGATGTGTCTCAACTTTTTCTCTGTGTCCTGCTTCCAACATACCATCTACTTACAGGACCCACCATTGCAATAGGGAGGCTGTGTATAGCTAATTCAGCATACTGTTAATTAGTCTCTTTCTATTTTCTTTCCCACAGTAGCAAACATTGTATTAGTATTAACTAAAAGTACTACTTTTGAATATAACGCTTTAGCTT